AGAGTAGCAGCTGCAGTTGTGATATTTTATGCTTCTTGTCCTGGATACATTACAAAATGTGAATTTAGCCATTCAAGAATGTTAGTAACCAAGGTTTTGCCATGGAAAGACACTGTGAGTTACTTGGCAACCCACGTAGTATCCACAATAAATCCAAATCCCTCCATGAGACTAACTGATGCAGGCAGAACTTCTGATGATGAAAGAGCCAGACTAAATGCTGAATTTTCTTGAGGCATGGTTCTTACAGATATGTGGGTGCCAAAGTAGAGTCTCTTTGGCTACATAAACTACTTTGAGACTTATGCTGAACGTAAGCAGCTTGTCTGTATGTCCAATAAGAGGACTTAAGGAGGGTATAAAGGACCATTTTATTAAAGGTCAGGTAATTTAACATTTAATTGTGCTTACAGAACCAGTAAGCATTTATGGCAGAACTGAAAAATAGTGAATTCAAATTTAGAGCTAAACTAAGTTAAGTTGTAAGTTAGCCAAAAAGCTACACAGAATGAACAACATGCAATTTGGCTTGAACTGGCATAAATAGCAAGATTAACACAACACCACAGACAGACTGCTATCTAAGAGATTCAATTAGTAATGTGGCCTTCAGCATATGGAACATGCTCTGATTCAACAGTCTAAAACCTTCCTTTAACCCGCGAAGACGCGCACTACATTCTACTATGCGAGGACGTGCATAAGCCCAAAGTGTTATTTCTTAACAAAACAAAAATAAAATTGCTTGTGTAATTGAAGAAAAAACTTTAAATAATAAACACAGAGTGTATAAAATGTAAAAATATACTTTGAATTTAATAAGTCTAATAAAATTCTATTTTAAAACAATTTTAAGACTGAAATTATTATCATTAACAAAAATTAAACTGATTGCTTTTTGAGTGCAAATGAAATTTAGTACTAATTCATGCAATATTAAATTTTTACAGCAATAATTTCAAAATAAAACTTACATTTCACATTTTTTTGCAAATAATCGTGCTGTGTTTACCAAAAACATTTTTCTCACACATAGCACAGCAAATTTTTGACGAACTTTTCAAAGGCATATCTTATTGGAGCCATTTTATTTATTTCCCTTCTAGAAGGGTGATCTCTTATGTCATCAAATCTCAAACATCTCATTAGAAATAAAAAACGTTTGTTAGACATTGATCGGTGAAAAATGACAAGCACTGCTCCGTCAGTCACCCAAAGGTAGAGAACATTTACATGAGAAGCCTTGTGGAATCCTCCAAAATAAAGAAGACAGATAAATGTTCTGATTACTGTAATATTTGTGGATTGAGCATCTCTCTATCTTCCAAATTTTATGGCAATGGTTTCGATATAAATGTTCGCACTATCTACTAGAATTTTTACTATTATTTTATCCATAAACAGTTGCCAAGAATTCATAGGGGAGGACACAAATTTTGCTTCACAAACATTTCCGACCAATTTTCTCACAATGTTGTGAGCAAGAGTTCTCACAGCAATTTTTGTTCTTTTTTATTCCATTTTGTCACATTATATTTGCCAAGATAACAATTCGCTGACGGACACAGCATTACTTAACTCATTACTAGATTCATCGCTTGAGTCTAATGCCTCTTCAGAATTCGATTGAGGATCACTAAACTGTTCTTCACCAACTATTTCTTCGTCCTCTTCATTAATTGTATCTTCATCATTCGACACTTCGGCTAATAGTTTCTGTAGTCTTTTTATTTAATCGTCATAACTCAAATAGCAAGACCTTTTTGCAACTGCCTGATATCTTTCACAGTTTTAAATGACAATGTGAGCGCGCGCCTCGGGCCTGGGAAGCCCGGTTACTCATTTTCTGAGATAAGATGAACGGTTAAATTCCGGAAATGCTTGTGAATGACAAGTACATGACCTTAAATGCAGTTACTGAGAAGGTTGAAAAATTTCACCAAAGAGAGAGATTTTTGTATTACGTTTTTGTAACCACCCGGCCTCACAGGCCCGACGCACGTTCTCGCGGGTTAAGTACAATCTCTTTCTACCTCTTTTGAATACGCACAAACTAAAATTAGCATTCTAGCAGGCAAATGGAAAGTGAGAGTAACAGTAAAGTTATTAAACATAAAATAACTGGTCGGTTAAAAATATATAAATTACAAGATAATGAATAGAAGGTAACAATGTATGACATATTTATACAGAAGAAAGTTTCATAAACTAATATTTGTGATAAGGGCTTCCCCTCACTCAATACATGTTTATATTCAAGCCATCAGCTTTTTAAATGGATACATGTTATATTTCAAAATTTGAATTAATAAAATTCACATGAGCTTCCCTCTCACATGAGAAATCATGGGATGTTGGAAAAAACAAAAAATTTCAAAAAGGGAAATCGGAACTTTTTTCAAAAGATAAGGATGTTGGAAAGAAATAGCTGACCAGTTCTCTCAAATATTGAAAACATTACATGAATGATATATTTTTATATAAATGAAAAATGCTCCTGCTGAGTGAAGAAAGGGATGTGTTGTGCATTTAACACAGTTAAGGCATTTAAGTACACTGTCCTTTATGTAGCACAGTTTTATAAAAGATTCATAAAGTAGAATAACTATGAAATCTGTATTTAATAAGTTAGAGAGTTCACTTAACTCAAGTAGGACATAAATCAAAATTAACTTTCTTCACAAACATTTAAATTGAAATGTTGAAAAAAGAACTTAACAAAAGATTCATTTATAAGTTTTAAATATCTTCAGGCGTACCTATTAGGCAATAATGAGAAAAGAAAGTAACATGGCTGAAAAATAATGAAGGTCAAGTACAACATTAGTATAAAATCTTTTTAAGACTTCTACATCAAAACGTAAATAGAATCCTCTCTTGCGAATATATCATTTGGCGCTTATTTATTTTTGGATGCTCCGAGTTTCATTATGCAAAAGTGACACTAATTTATTCTAACAGAGAGCATATGAAGAAGTACTATTATAATCTTTTTCTTGAGGAAAGAATTATGTATGCCTCCTATCTAATAAAATTTTATTAATCTGTAACTTTCATCTCAGTGTCAGTGAGCTGTTATTCACTTTTTTAATTAAAAATGTAATTCTTATTTTATCCTTTTATAAGTGTCATTTGACTGTCAAAAATAAATTATATAGTTAAGAAATCATTATATTATATGGTGGTACATCATAATAACTATTAATTAAGCTTTTTTATTTTCAACCCATTGTAGTCCTTAGCTCTTCCGCTTTATTTTAAAGTATTATAAGAGTAACATTTACTGTGAATGATGTTATAAATTTGTTTTAGAGAATGAAGTTTTTCTCAGTGTTTGCTACTACTTTTTTAAAAACCCTATATACATTTTTGAACACAGATACATTTTTCTTTCATGTATTTCTTTTATTTGCCTTGCTGTAATTATTTAGATATATTATATTATTATTTTTAATTATTTTTTATGGAAAAATTATTCAGTTATTCATACTTAATTTGATTACTAGTTCTTGTGTTTGGTCAGAGAAATTTTTCCATTTAGTCTTAGAAAGTCTGAGAATTTTATTTTCAGATGGCTGAACAATTTCTCTTCAAGCATTATTTGGAACAATTAAACTAGTTATTTAACTATCTAATTCCTGAGGCTGAATTTAGTATTTGAGAATGTTGCCTAAGGTACACTACAAGTGGTAGACTGGCATTATACCTGCAAGAAATGAGGGTGGACATATACAAATATCCATGCTTTCAAACTTGGATTGTAGGCTAAGGCAGCGGGTTTCCAGATCGCCATGCCAGTAGGGTGGCACGTGATGGAAATTAAGATGGAGTGGAAAATCTGTAAAGAGTTGTAACTTCCATATTTATGTTCAGTATACAATAGTAAAGATATGTTATTAATATTTAGATGTTGTTTAACTTTGCTTAGTGTTATTTGTAGCAGATGTTCTCTTCTTTTGAAGAAGTTGAGAAATTTTTTTATTTTTTAACAATGAAACAAATGTGACCCAAACTAGGTTACATTATAGATCTTGCTGTGCTATGCCATTAACAGTGTTACCCTATCCCATTTTATAAGGACACACTGGTGCTCAAAATTTCTAGATACCTTATGTTTTTGTAGGATTTCCCATTTACCTGGAAATTCATGGAAAGTGACAGAAATAAAAAAAAAAAATTGTCATAGAAAGGAAACTATAAACATTTTTGAAAATTGTCGTATAACAGTATTTTTCCCTGAGAAAGTTAGAGAAATTAAAAAATGCACAGATCGATTCTCTCAAATTATAAAAATTTTATATTTTTGAATAGTACAAAATAAACAAAAATTACCTTTCCTCGACAGAAAGCAAATGAAAAATTACTGTAGTGTTCATTTTACTACGGAAAGTATTTTATCTCCTTCATATGTTATAAATTTTATCTCTTTTCCTCCTGGTAATGGGTTTTTCATCACTTCTTATCTTCAGAAATGTACTCTTCTACTATCTCTTTCTTCAGAAGTCTATCCTTCAGAAGTAAATAGTGTAATGTAATCCTTAGCTCTGTGTTTGGAAATCCATCGTTTTCTTTGGACTAAAAGTTAAAAAGTTTTCTAATATTATAAATGACATATTTCTCCACAATGAGTGTTTTTTTTTTTTTTTTTTTTTTTTTTTTTTTTTTTTTTTTAAGAATGGACAGTTTTTCCGGAATTTAGTTTTCTTGCCAAAAAATTCTCTGTATATTTTTTAATGTTGATATGCATATTTGTATTTTTAATTCTTTCATTTTCCTCACATCAACAAATAAGATAAATTTTCATAATGTATTGTGTTTTGTAGTAAATGTAAAGATTCCATTGCTTCAGTTTAATTTGAAGTTACATTATTTTGTTCTGGGGATTTTTCTGTTCGGTCAAGAAAAATTAAGAAAATTAAAAATTGGAATTTAGTGACAAACTTCTTTTCAAATGTAGCATGACTTCTAAATTCCTAATTGAAATTATAATTAATTTTCAGAAAAGTATCCAGTTGGGAAGAGAATATACTAATATTAAGTATACAGCAGAAGCAGCCGGTGCAACTGATCCTGTCAAAGTTGTTACAAATGCTTCAGCTTGTGCTACAACTCTAAGTCCGCCAACGCCAACAATGCCTCCTCTTGTTACTAGGTCTTCTTGTGAAAATTTGAAACCACCTGTGCCTCCAAGACCTAGTCCAGATTCAATAGTACCAAGGTATTCTTTATCTGTAATTCAAATATGCATTTGGATATTTATAATATTTGCCAGAGCTATGCTAGCTAAATATTTATCATTAAATATCATGTGTTAATATTGTAATTTTAAATTTGTAAATTATTTATGAAACATGAATCAAATTTGATAAGACTGACAGTATACTGTGTTTACTATAAAAAAACAAAATCACCAAGCATGAGTTGCATTTGACATATAAAAAATGCCACACAGAAATAACAGAAACCTTGTAGAAAAAAGCTAAATATAATAAAATTATACTCACATTTATTTTTTGCATACAGTTTCTGGTAGTTATATGCATGCAATTGCTATTAATATGACTTCGAAGCAATTTTGTTTCTTATATATTGCTGCTCAATAAATTCTGCTAGGTACAATTCAGTATGATTCTGAAGAAAAAAATAATTATATTTCATAATAATAGAGCATGCACAGATGGTCACAAAATGCATCTATTTATACAGTGTAACAGAATTAATGGTCATGTTTATAAGCAGTGAAGGACATGGAAAAAGTAACAATTTTCATAATAAAATGTGTAGTAGATTGTGAAATGTGAAGGCAACTAACACAGGAAATATGAAGATGATAGTTATTTTAATCATAGATCTTAATTAAAACAACTCATTATTTCTTATTATTACTATTTTCGTAAAACAGTGTTTGATATTTGTAAGAGTTGTTCAAATAAATGGCCAACAACTGCAATACATGCGGGACAATGATGATTGTTTATGAGAAGCAGATTGACATTTTTTAAGACTTTGTCACCAAAATTAGCATCACTGCTGCAGAAGCATATAACATGTCGGGCATCTGTCAATCACTTCATCATCAATATTCTGTTTGGTGATCATTTATTTGGATGGTTGTTGTAAATATCAAGCATTATTTCTTCTAAATATCCATCATTAAAATTACTTTTCACTTTCATGTTCTTCATACCTATTGTGTTTCTGCATTCATATTTCATGTTCTATCCCATATTGTATTACAGAAATTGTTACTTTCTGTCACCTTTTAAACTTATGACTATCAGTTCTGTTACATCTTATATATCAATGATAGAAATATTTGGAGATGCAGTGTTATGGAAGAAGAAAGGCATTTATTTATGCTAGAAACTGATTATGCGGCTCCTGGTTATTTTTTCTAATAATGTTGCAGTTTATTTACTTTTGAGAACTCCCATACATTTATTAGTTGCAGGAAGTATTTAAAAATGTGCAAAACATTTTTTGACTAAAATAATTTTATTGCGTGTGTGAGGTGCTAAGTAGAGGTAGTTTTTAGTCATAATCAACTTTGGTGATTGATCAGAGAAGCAGTAGTTTTCGTTCATGGTGGCCACTGCTGTATAAAATTATCAGATGGATATTTTTTTTTTTTTTTTTTTTTTTTTCCATAAGGGTAGCTTTGAGAAGACAAAATTGAATAAAAATCAGCTGACTAAATTTAGACCATAATGAAAATCATTGCTAAATTTCCATTTCAGTTTTTAACCCATAAAATATGAGAACTAATATCTGTTTGCATACACTGAGATTCTCCTTTTCTTTTTTCTTCCCCCCCCCAGTAGTACTGTTTTTTTTTTGGGGGGGATACATATTTTTAAAGTTGTGTTGAGTAAATTTATTGTCTACTTAATGTCCAATGCAGACACAGATGCAACCCTTCTAAAAAATATCATCATTATGAACATTTAAAGAAATTAGTATAATAAATCAATGTGTGTTTATATAATGTACAGTACAAAGTCTGTAATCCGGACTCGTTGGGACTTTGATGATTCCAGATTAGAGGTTTTTCCGGAATATAGATCATCAGTTTAAATCTGGTGAGATGACATGCAGAAATTATACAATTAAAAATATGAAACCATAATTTCTGAAATAAAGAGCAATTATGATCTAAAGGGTATCAAATTTTACAAAAAAAAAAAAAAAAAAAAAAAAAAAGAAGCTTAATATTTATTTGTTTACTTTATTAGACATTTCTTTCAATGTGCGCATGAGTAAAGCATACATTACGCATAGTCGAAATTAGAAAATTCCAACCAGAAAACTATTTTATGTGTATTCCTGATATTTATAATGACGAGGCAATTGATTTAAATCATATCAAAGACGACGTACATCAAGATGAAATTCTACACTTAGTAAGGAATTACAAGCCGAATAAAATAAAAACATCTGCTCAGATGAGGATAGTGCTGGCAGATCAACTTCCAGTTCATTGCGCGCCATGATGTCACCCCCCCCCCCCCCCCCTCCACAGAGCAGCGTGAAATTGATAAACAGATTTCGGAATGGTTAGAGAAACAAATCGTTAAGCCAAGCTGTTCTGATTATGCAAGTAATATCATGCTAAGTAGAAAAAAATGCTGTTCATTTAGATTATGTCTGGACTTAAACAACACTGAAAACCTGGTGAATCCCTTTCCAAATATTTAATGGCCATGCGTGAAATAGCCAGTCGCGGTTCTGTTGATGATTCATCAATTCCTGATTATGTAATTAATGGGATACTCGATCAGAGTAGTAACAAAATTATTTTGTATGGACGTAAAACTATTTCTGAATTCAAAGAAAAATTAAAAATTTATGAGAAAATCCGTGTTCCAGATACGAAGAATAAGGGTTATTCAAGTACTAACGCACAAAATAAAGCACGCGCTGTACCTAATAAGAGTAATGAACCAAGGTGTTATAACTGTGGAAGTATGGGGTGCATAATGTATGTGCATTCTTTTGCACGCATGCATAAAGCATACAAAAGAAAGTTTGTGGCTTTCAGGTCCAGATTATAGATCATTCTGGATAATGGACGTCCGGATTACGAACTTTGTACTGCATTTACTTTCAGTAGTGAAGATTTCTGTTATTTAAGGAATTTACTTCTGCTTGTGAAAATGCCCATAAAATTTATACCTGTTGTTAATTAATATATATATTTTTTCTAGATTTAGTTTCAGAGAACTTTTCGTATCCAAGTTTCTTCTTGTAATTCAGCTGTTCTATTCTCCTATATATTTAAATGTGTTTTAAGATTTTATCGGAATTTACTAGAAAAAATCTGCATCAAAATTTATTATAAATAATTTTCTTACCATAAAAATCACCTAATGATTAACTCATGTTGCAGTGAATATTATGAATAAAATGCATAGTAAGTATAGAATTCTGTTTGCCAAATACTCTGTAAGATTAACTAATTGATATCAGCTTGCTTTGTATTGTAAAAGCCAGAATTAATTTTCATCATTTGTTTTTGATTTCAAAACATTAATCTGTTGTATGAAAATTTTACATGCTGTGCCATCTACATGCATAGTATAGATTCAGTTGGAAGAAATGCTCTTGTTTGTATTTCTTCATATTTTTTGTATGTTTCCTTTCAGGAATCTACTTCTTGTCAGCATTTTCCTTCCCTGTCAGTTAAAAATGCTTGACTGACTGCTCACATTTTCTTACATTATCCAGGTTGCCACATTTCTTTCTATTGTATACAACAGAAGCAATATCTTTATGTGTGCATTCATACAACTATATGCATTTCTAGGAAATTCAATTGTGTATCTGAAAACCTCAGCTGTTTTTTTTTTTTATTTTTATTTTTCTTCATGCTTTTTTCATTATGGTTTTTCGCCCACCAGCGGCCGAGCGGTAAAGTCGCTGAACACTGGTAGTTCGGTCCGAGGTTCGAATCCTGCGAACGGGCTGGCTGCATGGGCGTTTTCATGGTTTTCCCCATGTGTAACGTGTATACGAGCCAGTTTCCCTTAGAAAGTCCTCCACGAAAGGCATCCCTCCCCTTAGGCAGATAGCCCTAGTATGCTTTGCCATAACTAAATACACCATTATGGTTTTTCACCTTGAGAGAGTAGCATTTTTAATTCAAAATGTGAATTTGAAATGCTATTCTCTCAAAGTTAAATCCAACATTACACAAACCAACATTACACATCGGTTTCATATTTTAAGTAATTATGTCTTTCTTCTCTGTTTTTTCCAAAGTAGTTTAACACAAAATAAATAAATACAAGAGAAAAAAAGAGGTTGATTGGTTATTTAAATATATAAAAATATATAAAATTCTGAGCAAAGAAAAATCACATTTTTCTTAATAGCTATAATGCATCTCACTTTTTTTAATTAGTCAAAAATGTAAGATCATGTACCACTGTTAAAACTCCCTCTGATGAAAAGCATGGTAAGATAAAATTGTTTATATTCTTGCTTCTAAAAGTAAACTCTGCAGGAATAGATTTTAATTGTTTACACTATTATGGTAGTTTATATAATTTCAAGTTAATTTTTATTTATTTATGATTTCAGTTAATTTATTTTATTTATCTCTAAGATCTGTTGCTGATGCAGAAGCACGTGTGTGCAATATATAAAAGAAAAAAAAATGCATGTTGCCTGTATTATTTGCTTGTAATTAAATTTTAAAAAATAGCCACTTTTCTTTTTTGCTGCATGTTGTTGTTTTTGTTTTTGCTGCCTTTCTTAATTTCAGTTTCCTTAAAGGCCCCCCGATGAGCCCTTGCAATTGTATGAAAATATACCATTGAAGGATAAGCCTTTGGTAGTTCCTTTGACTGCATCATTCAACATTGGGCCTCCTCCAACAATAGCTCCACCTCCACCACCTCGAAAGTCATGACAGTTCCTAACTCCAGAATCTGATATTTGTGAAATAGTTTCTGTAGAAAGTAAGAAAATTACGTATTTTGATCTTATGACACGAGAGGTTATAGTAAGGAGGAATAAAAAGGAAATACATGAAATAAAAATCGTGATCAAGGCAAATATAACTCATACAGGAAAGCAGAATTATTTTGTGTTAAAATGTAGTTTGAATATTGGGGTTAAATTACTTAAGGTAGCACATTTGAAAGTATTCATAGGAGAGATGTCTTCACAGAAGGCTTCTTAAAAGAAATTGGCTTTTATTTGTGTTACAGATGAAAAAATAATTAAAAGCTTATGCAGGAAACCCTTTTAATTCTCAAGATACAAATTTTAAATCAAATACCTGTGTCAAGAATTTTATCCATTTGAGCATTGGTGATCCACTAATAAGTGTAAAGAAACATTTCAAAGTAAACATTTTCATCACCAAATTGAAAGTAATCACTAAACTGATTCCTTTTTAAAGTTGGAAAGATTCATGTTGTTATTTTTAAAGTTCATATTGTATATTTTTATTTTAATTTGAAAGCATTATTGCAATTAAAATGATTGCAATAATGAAATTGTAATGTGAATGATTGCAATAATGAAAGCATTATTGCATTTGTTACTTTTATGCATAATTTTAGTTTCTAATTTATTAGCATTCTAGAGCTAAAACAGTGCTGCTCATCATTCATTCTGAATATATAATAGTAACATTTTCTCAGGAAAATTCTCATAGAATATAGTTACACACTTTCAATTTGATTGAAATATTAGGATTAGTGGTTATTAAAAAAATCTACATGATTTAACAGATTTAACTCTTTGAATTAAAAAAAAATACCCTATTTTTTATTCAAGTGAACAAAATATGTCTATGTCATAAATAAGGTAAATTTAGCATTAGGGATATTTTTGACAAACGGTTTCCAAGCCAAAGGGACCGTTTCCAAGCCAAACACATATGTCTTAGCCATTGTTAATGATGGGATACACAAATCCCATATCTAGCGATCGACTTACTATAAGCACACCTATTATTCTCGAAAACTTTATTATATGAAATAGATTTTACATTGTAGGGTACAGGGTAAAGCATTCTTTGTATAACCCAACATTACACATTGGGCAACTCATATTTGTTCTTTTCTCTATGTTCATTTGTGTACAATGAGCACAGCTGCATCTTGATTTTCCAACTATTGGAAAATGATCCCCAACATTCAGAAGATTCTAAGTGCTTTTTAACCTAGCAATAATTTTTAAACTTTTAATGGGACATATATGCCTGGTTAGTAGTCAAAGAGTTAATCTTCTTAAAAATAGGTTTTTTTTTTTTTTTTTTTTTTTTTTTTTCTTTCCATGAAGCCACAAATTGTATCCTGCATTGTTTTCATTGCAGGAAGCATACCTGGGATGCTTTTCTGGAATATAAACTACTGCCTCATTATGTTCTTATGAATTTTCTTGATATCTTGACATTTTCTTCCTTCAAATGGAATTTGATATTTTAAAAGAGAAAAATGTTGCAGGGGATGAGATTGGGAGAATATACAGTGGCTATCAGATCTACAAAATTTTGTGCATAGCCAAAAACTTGTGCATGCTGAGTTAAAGGGGTAAGTGCATTATCATGATGGAGTTACCCTTCACTGAGTGCATACAAATTACCCATATTAAAAAACAGACTTTCTTAAATACCACAGCACTTTATGGGAGTACATCTGAATTATATTATTCCAGATAGAAAAATTCATCATCAAAAATACTGTTGAAGTTAAAGAAAACAATCAACAGTATCTTCACATTGCTTCAACTCATTCATGCTTTCTTGGATCTCAGAGAAATTAGAATCTTCCATTGTAAAGACAGCCTTGGTTTCAGGGTCATAACTATTTAGTCAAGATTTGTCATCTGTTATGAGAATTTTCAGGAAGTTTTCATCATTCTTGCCATAATTGTACAGCTGAAATCAAATTTTGTTTTGTATCGTTTGAAAGCAGTTTTGAAGCAAACTTCACAGATGTGCATGGCATACTCAAATCTTCGCTAAGAATGAAATAAACTGAACCATATCTAATGTTGAACTCTTCAGCAGTTCCATAAATTATGATCTGATGATCTTTCTCTATTTCTGAAAGTACTACTTTGATGTCCTCTCTCTCTGTTTTGCTGCTTATGGGTCTTTAAGGATATTTATTACTTTGGATACTTTTTTTTTTTTTTTTTTTTTTTTTTTTTTTTTTTTTTTGCCATTTTGGAAATACAATATGTCAGTAAACCACATGTAGTTGATACACTTATTTTTGTACATTTTCTGAAACTTTAAAATCTCTGTAAAGAGTCAGCAATTTCAGCTTAACTTTCTATTCCATGATTACTGTGCCAATGAAACACTTAATGTGTTTGTTCAAAACATTCTTACATGGGTAGAGAGTTTAGGATATTATTGCATGGCCACACACTCAGCTTAATCCGAGATCAGTTTGTGACAAGTGGCTTCACTGTGAATGTTTTTGCTGTGACATGTGGTATCAGTCCCCTTTTTTTTCATACCTTGTCTATGGAATTGAATTACACCATTCAAGCACATATTTTTCAATAAAGATTCAGGACACTTTTTTGGTTGATTTTAAAGCAGGATGAAACTTCAACAGATAGTTTATATAAATTACATATGTTTTTAAAAAAATGCGAAAGTGTTAGTCATGTCATGAGTGCATAGAATGTTTTTTATTCTAGTCTGTTTAAAATAAGTACAATTATGTTATAAAATGTTACATTTTTTCAACATGTGAACACTTAAACACTTGCAGATATACTACCAAATTCATTACCATATGTGTAATGCAATTAAATTAATTCTTTAACCAAAATTGTGTTAGTATTGGGGTGTTACCAGTATTGTTAGTATCTGCCAAAAACATGCATTAGTTATTTCTGTTTGAAGAATTTTTTTTCACTTCAGTAAATTGAGTATTGCTGCAAATCATACTATTTCAGCATTCTTAGTTAGTTTTCACTGTATTTAGTGTATTACTATAAATTTTAAGCAACAAAAAAGCTTAAAAAGCACAGTAATTTGCATATGAAGTACATCAAGTTATGCTAGTGCTGCTGCCCAAAACCAGACAAAAATCAAGCCATTTGAAAAAAAATATGAATGCTCATAATGTACTGTAATTTTTTCAAAAATTTTCATTTTTGATGTCTAGTGTTAGTTATGCATTCAATATGTAGAACGTTTTGCAACCGATAAGATAATAGTGAAGGATTTGAAGTTTTGCAAGTTAATTGCTTCAAACTTATGTTATGGATGAATGCAGTTTAGTACTATAGATGTGCTTTTTTCCCCTTGGGCTATTTTTTCCCCAAAGAAAAGAAAATTGTAATATTATTGTGAGAACAAAACGTACAAATATATATATATATATACCAGCATATGGGAAAATCTCTTAATGTTTATCATTAAGCATTGTGATCAGTAACAAGCTTTTCATTGTTAGGTTTCCGAGAAATCAAATCTTATGGAAATATATAGGTTGCTGATATTCCTAAACATTGAATGCTTCAAACGTCAGCCCTTTTTTATTTAAATGCACAGGTTAGACATTTTGTCCATTTTTAAAAGGTTTACAGAAAGCCCTTTTTTTGGAGGGGGGAAGCAATGCTTAGATTATCCATTATCAGATTGTTAAGTTCAGTAATTGAAAAAGAGCTTATCCCTTAGAGAACTAAGCAGTAATTGCAAGATATTAGCTCTTGTAGATGCAAAAGGATATTTTCATTATTTTTATGCTTGAATCTTGACTAACTTGAGCAGACAAAATGCAGTATGTAGGAACACTTTGTACAAATTTTTATACCCAAGAGATATTTCAGAGTGTTATCAACAGAATGAATGAATTTCTGCTTTTGCAGACATTTTTGCAAGTGTTATGATTCCTTGTATGGGAATTTTAGCTTATATGGTAGTGCACTGCATATTGCAGCGTTTGGCATCTTCAGTAAAATCTTGGGCTTAATTTTTTGCAAGTGAAAATAGGGAAAATGTGCATGGGGAAAACAACAGTGCAAGGGAAAAAGACCTTGTTTATAAAAAGAAGAATGTTAATAAAAATAGGCAGCACTGAATGGAATGTTGAAATAGACATTAATATACCCAAACAAACATTTCTCACCAACAGGTTTGCAAATGCTGCCCAATGTCACCAACAAGTTCACAATTTTTCAGTGAGGGTCCAGATTATCAGAAATTACTGACGGAAGATTGAGAGTAGTGAGCGTATTGGATATTTAGTGATGAAAAACTGAAAAATTATCACTGTCTGAAGAAACATAAACAGTGTCCACAAGTCAAACATAAACTGCATGCAGGTCGATTAGTATAGGCATTTAACGCTAGAACAGCGGAAAATCTTACCTACTGAAACGGCAGTAAGGGGTCAGTTTGACCCTTCGATGAAAGTACTAAAACAACAACGGAAAACAGTTTTAAATGCCATACCTTGCCACAAATATGAACTTTATATGTATTTCATAATTTATATTTAATATCACATGATAATTTATTGACTTTTTAAAATACTGTAAATGTTAAGAATTGATTTCAAATAAATGGTTTCACAAATTAAAACTAATCTTAACTAAAATAAAACAAAATTTATGTAATATATTTTTTTATGTACTTACTCAGAGGAGAATTCATTCTCTAAATCCAGAGATGTTCTCTAATGTTTCATTTATATCATTATATGTTTCATTTATATCATATCTCTAATGTTTCATTTATATATTATATGTGTAGCTGAATGGAATATGTAAAGCATTTCATTTCAGTTCTATTTAATGTTTAAAATATTAGAGATTACACATACATATTAAGAATTAATGCAGTTGATGCAAAAATAATTTTAACAATTTTTCCAGTGCATTTTCCGCACACAACTTCGGAACAAGATGCACAATATTCTTGAGATTTGTTTCCATTGCATCTCTGTACATGACACTTTTTTCTCTTTATATCCATTTTCTT